AAAAAAAAAAAAAAAAAAAAAAAAAAAAAAAAAAAATGGCAAAAGATTTGTGCAATATTATCCAATGGCACTTGTGAACGGTGAAATTAGAACATTCATGTACGTGTAATGAAAGCTATAGAGATACTAAATATCTTATAATGGGTCTATCGTCGTTAATAGCTTAACCAGTCCTGCAAATTGAGCTCGTTAGTGTGAACAATACAGGAGATCGTATTATGTGCGTTTGTCACTGTACAAAGCCTGATGCTATCGTGTTACGTACTGATTAGTAAGAATATATTACCAACAAAGTAATCTATTGGTTAGAGCAAATTATTCTGGATACTAGCGAGCCAGGGAATTTCACTTCTGTCGTGTTACGTGCCTACAAAAATACACAGAAAAATGATAATTTTTTTTTTTTTTTTTATCCAACGATAAACTATAAACGTTACAATCAACGTACAAAAGGGGGTCCCGCACCCTAACACGGATGGAGAGCATTATCTAACTAATTGTGAGTGACACATGTCGATTTTGATGAAATTTTATATGTATAGAAAAAAAAAAAAAAACAAAAAAAAAACCGTGGACTGTTAATACGAGATGTGACTGTGTGGTATAAAAATTCAGAATTTGGGATACGGGCTGGTGGAAGACGAGAGACGATTGGTTTGATTAATAATGAATGTCGCGCGTTGCATACGACGCAACTATGCTGGAATTCACGAATATCGAACGCTGATAGTAACTGAGGAGTAATCTCTAGTATGTCGCTTGGCTACCTCAGAACCGGAATTGAGGTGCATTCTCCTTAGTACAATGCGCCAAGCGCTCAATCACGCGACAAGCGTTCAAAAGGTAAGGGGGTCGATTTCCCCTTAATTGTCACTCGAAAAATGACCCTGTCCAGACAATATCCGTGAATTCTATTCTATTATACTCAACTAGCCCGGCGTGTTGAAGCTCTCTGCTACGTTCAAACTAATTGCACGCTCGTTACAAAAAAAAAAAAAAAAAAAAAAAAAATGGCACGTTTCAATTCTAATTTCTTTATGAAATAAAACACGGGGTTTATCTATCGCAGACATAGAAGAATTACTGGGCAGGCCAGTGCAGACTGAATTATCCACTGAAACAGGATTGGACAACACGTTGAACATGCTTGTAGATCTCGTAAATGGTACTTTTACTACATTCGAATTTTTCTATTCTTCGCTCGTCGCTATGATATTATTGTATTACTGTATTATTTCAGCTAGTCATCGAGTGTCGAACAATGTTGAATCACTGTTAAGCGACGGTGAAAATATTCGTAGCCTCGGCAAGCAATTAAGCAGAGAAATGGACGATTTACGTCGGAATTTGGAAAGTGCGTTGAGAGCTTGCACCGGTCAAGATCGTCCTCTATGCACCATCATCGATTCTACTGGATTACGGTTAACATTGCGGATCGATCAGGTAAATCCAGTTCAAGCAGCAACAAATGTACAACACACTGATCGTTGTTGGTATCGATTGCAGTTCCTCAGCGACAATCACTTGCAATATTTACGGGATTTCAAACGTGAAAATTTCACGGAAACCATTCGTCAAGCTCGGGGAGAATACACGTACATTCCGCAGCACGTCGCAAGGAACAGCCTGGAAATTCGGAATCGTAAGTAAGAGGCAATCGTTAATATTGCATGAGAGGATGAGTCGCAATTTCTTTCAGAAATCCGACGTGAAGTGAATAAAATGCGTGCCAGAATCTTCGATGAGGCACGGAACATGGAGGCGAGCAATTCCGAGCTCGTCAAGCAATTGGAATTTGCAAGACACCTGGTAGATTATACGACGCCGTATGTAATAGTCTTCGAGCATGCCAGATGGCTCATAGGTATCGGTAAGTG